AATATTTTTTATATGTGCCCTGTTCCTTAATCTGTTATATGTCTAAATGTATTATATGCTAAATGTATTTGTTTAAGGCGCATAACTAGGCTATATTTGTAAAATGATACGGGCAGTACTGGTTTAGCACAGATACATACAGGTACTCCTTACTTACCGACCAGGTTCCGCTCTCACGACTCCGTCGTAGAACAAATTGGTTGGTAAGTGAGGAGTTAAGGGATTCCCTGCTCTGGTGTGCTTGTCTATATTCAGGGAAATTTCCCTGGACATAGACAAACGCAGCAGAACAAGGAATCCCTCTAATCCCTGTGACGGCTCACTGTTATCCCCACGCTAGGGAGCTGGTTGTAAGTGCAAGCCGTCGTAAAATGAGGACCACCTGTACTTCCTTTTTAGTGTCATGATCTCCAAGTGCCTAGAAATTTGTTTTAGGGTTGTTGTTCTGCAGTTCTAAGTAGCCTCCAGGCAATCAGACATGCTGTATACATTACAATGCTATGTTTTGGAATTGTTTGCCCCGGTTATATATTCCATCCATGACACACTAGGTGTCTCTGTTATTTGTTCCTTTATTGACATGCTAAATTACAGTATAATATAAACAAACCATATTCTCATCAAAGAATCTAATTTTGCCTAGACATCTCACTGTTACAAATGAGCAATAGCTTCCTGGGTGGAAAAAAAATCACATTTATTAGAATTTGTAGAACTGAATTGACATAATTTTATCCTTATCACTTATAGTCTGCACAAGCACCCTGAAAGTACTTTTAAAATGCAAGTCAATTTATCAGGTTCTGGTAATTGCATTCATTTTTGAACGGGGAAAGGTTGTAAATCTATACAAAGACTAAACAGTAAGCATGCTTTTGGTATAAAAATCAATTTTCGGGTGACAAACATGCAGTTCTGTTTTAATGTATTCCATTGCCTTGAGTTATATATTACTGATTGGTCTTCCTCATCAATCTCTCCAGGGTCTGAGTCACCTACACCAGCATAAAGTGATTCATCGTGATATTAAGGGGCAGAATGTCTTGCTGACAGAGAACGCAGAAGTTAAACTAGGTAAGGGAAGCTTCAAATTTTAATTAGGAGCAGAAAGGGCTCAAAGGGACACTAAAACGGAATACTGAAACCTGTTGTTAAGCTTGTTTTTCCTACGGATGCGTGAACGGCTATATGGCAAGCCACTGCTCGGGTTTTTATGTAATATTTATTGTACACATGTGTTATGTAAAAGATACAGTTACCTGGCAATTGATACAACATGTCTGTCTGTGGTTTAGGAATTGTCACAGTTAATAGTTAGCATAAGTATGTTCAATCAAACAGTGGCTTTTGTGATAGTTCTTTTATGTACATGATGGACAGTTTTATGACCAAAAATATATTGCCGTCAAGGTATGGTTTATAAATAAGTACATTATTTTTAATTAAATTGTTGTAGCTTTTAATGTGCTTTTCTGGGAAAACATTATTGAGATTATGGTCTTGTTCTAATAATGGCAGTGTATGAAACTTCACATGTTCTACGCGGGACCATATAGTTGATAAAGCAATTAAGCATTTGAGAAAGCTACAACACTCATCACCACTGGTATTCAGAGTCTTTTCCCAACGTCAACTTGAGATGTTAAGCTTGCAGGGTTCCTATGCACTGGCACTTGACCAAGCACAATTTAGTTAAAGGAACACCAAAAGTGTCCTAGTCCCTATTTAGACCCTCATCCCTCTTTTGCTGTAAAAAAAATAATGAAAAAAAGTATTTACTCACATTTGTTCCAACACCAAGACTCTCTCATAGCTGCTGCCTGCTCCTCCCTCGATGTCATCTTGTAGCCGTTGCTTCCTTGAAGGTCATCCAATCCAATGCATCTCATAGATGCATTAGTTATAATCTGTGCCTGTGTGGTAAGCACCACACACATCAGATCAAATGCTTCTTATAGGTTTATAGGTTTTGCTTTTAAATGAAACCTTTGTGTCCCTCTATTTACCCATCTTTTTAGTTTTGTGAAATTCACTTTACTTTTTTAGCTATTCTCATGGGTAAGAGTTGGCAGTCAGTGGAGCTGAAACAAAATTCCATTAAGTTTGCTAAGCTAATTTACCCACAATCCAAAAGAGTCCAACAAAAGGCCAAACTGCAGACATCATGGACAGAGGAAAACAAAAGTGTCAGTGTCACTTTAAAGCTACACCGAATTTCTCATAGCACCATCAAGCCCCAAGTTACTTTTTTAGTTGTTGTCAGCCATAGTATACTACTAATTGTGCTGGAAATTAACCTAAATAGATTTAATAATTTAATGAAATCATTGATAGCACGTAATGTGAACTGTAATTTATTATTTATATCTGTAATGTACAATTTCAGTGGACTTTGGTGTTAGCGCACAACTGGACAGGACGGTCGGTCGGAGAAATACCTTCATCGGAACTCCTTACTGGATGGCTCCGGAAGTCATTGCATGTGACGAAAATCCTGATGCAACCTATGACTTTAAGGTACAACATGCATTTTTACTACTATCACACTGTGTGTAGCATTTTTCAGAGAAACTGCTTTGTTCACATATGGGTTAATCCAGCCTCTAGTGGCGGTCTCTGACAGCCGCTAGAGGCGCTTCCGCGCTTCTCACTGTGATTTTCACAGTGAGAAGACGCCAGCGTCTATCGGAAAGCATTGAGAATGTTTCCTATGGACTGACTGAATGCGCGCGCGGCTCTTGCCGAGCATGCGCATTCAACCGATTACATCAGAAGAGGGAGGAGAGTCCTGGCGCTGGAAAAAAGGTAAGGGATTAACCCCCTTACTCCCTCTTCACCGCCACGGGAGTGGGACCCTGAGGGTGGGGGCACACTCAGGGCACCATAGTGCCAGGAAAACAAGTTTTTTTCCTAGCACTTTAGTGTTCCTTTAATGAACATCCATACCTTACCACTTATTAATAACCTGAGCTAAGCATGGAAAGTGTTCTTTGCAATCATTGACCGTGTCACCAGTCACAATCAATGGAGGCCTAGTCAACTAAAATTGCTAGGGATTTTTTGCTTTTTCATCCTCATTTCAATAACAGGATGATGCAGATTTTCAGGAAGGCTGCAATGATTCTTATGCCTCTGTATAAACATCTTTGTTCTCTCAGTCTTCATTTTTAATGCTTTTATTTTCTTGAGTACTGCTTATAGTCTCTGTTATACCACATATAATTTAATGAGCACCATTCAGTTTTTACTGTGATCTAGTAAAGGATGGGGGAGACTAGTTCTCAGCAAGGAAATTGCCTACTTAAGAGTTGGCAGAATCTTTATCCTGATAAGAATTATATAAAAGCTGCAAGCGTCAATGCTTCGTGTAAGATATTTAATCTTATTAAAAGCTTAGTATTATTATTGAAATTTTTTAATTTTATTTTTTAGAGGCAGTTTTATTGCGTTTTGTTGCCTGTAAGCAACTATTTCAGATTGAACGCACACATAATGGTTACTTGTTACTATGGCTGTTCTAATCTCCACGCAGTTTAGCAAATAGCTTTTTTTCTTTGGACAAGGTGGGCAAGAACTAAACTAAGGGTTTCTCAGTGAAAGTATTCACTTCTGTTGCAAAGAATAATTATCCTTGCACCTTTTAATTATCATGTATATTATGTATTGAACCAAGAACATACCCTTTCCCATACCTCCCAACTGTAGTTACCATTTCTGTTCACATTTAGCAACATGACATAACCCTATTGTATCTCTACCATAGTTTTCTTAAAGGATCACTATAGGGTCAGGAACACAAACATGTATTCCTGACCCTATAGAGTTTAACACCACCATCTAGCCCCCTGGGCCCCTCATTCCTCCATAAATATAGCAAAATCTTACTGTATTCAAGCTTGAAGCTGTAACTCTGCATGCTATTTGCCTCAGAAAAACAAGCTGTATGCTGACATCATCAGAAGTGGTAGCCTGATCCAATCACAGTGCTTCCTCATAGGATTGGCTGAGACTGACAAGGAAGCAGATCAGGGGTAGAGCCAGCATGATTCAAACACAGCCCTGGCCAATAAGCATCTCCTCATAGAGATGAACTGAATCAATGAAAGTTCAGTGTCTGCATGCAGAGGGAGGAGTCGCTGAATATTTGGATGCATTTTAGGCAGCCATGACCCAGGAAGGATCTCTAACAGCCATCTGAGGAGTGGCCAGTGAAATTATCACTAGGCTGTAATGTAAACACTGCATTTTCTCTGAAAAGACAGTGTTTACAGCAAAAAGCCTGAAGGTTGTCCCTTTAAATAAATAGGTGCCATCAGTCCTGTATTTACCAATACAGTCCTGCATCTTGGGGTACTGTCCCAGAAAAATTAGGTCCCAGCAGATTTTAAAATGCAGGAGGGGACTGGGCACTAGATCCATGCTCTGAGTGCTTCAGGATGGCTCCATGTATGGTCTGCTTGAGGGGGCAGTCTGTCAGCCAAGCCCTCGTCATTAACGGTGGCCCACCTCTGTGATGCATGGTACTACCCCTTATATGTGCGAAACCTTGCTCTGTGTAGGCTGATCTTACCTGCCCATATAAACCTTTGGGGTATTGGGTAAAATCACAAATGAATATGTAAAGAACAAAGCCAAATGGAAGAAAGTCTATGTAATGACATGTTATGACATTGAGCAATTAATTAAACCAACTAAGGATTGCCTGACCCCGACTGCACTGATCTTAAATGTAACGTGCCCGAAAGGTTTAGAAGACGCCGTCCATTTTCACCACAATATTATTTAACACTCAAATTACGACTGCTTCAGCGTAATGACAATTCCTATACATGTCTGTAATAGGTCAGTTATTGCTTATACTTCTAGCTGAGTATAAACACATTTTGTTTAATAAGTTTCTCCAAGAAAGAGGGCACCGAATATCCATACATGATGCAGATCCCTTTCACTGATGTAAAGTCACGTCATCCAGTGATGGCCTTCCTAGTAACTGGAACTAATGAGGGTCTCCTTAGTGTGTGTGTGTGTGTATGTGTGTGTGTATGTATGTATGTATGTATATATATATATATATATATATATATATATATATATATATATATATATACACACACTAAGAAGACCCTCATTAGTAATAGTATGAAGTATTTACTAATATATATATATAAAATGGTAAATACTTCATATTATTTATACATGTGTTTGAAAGGTCACTTAATGGAGTAATTGCTAGTCGTGAATACCCTGCTCTATAGGCATGCACAAATATTATTTTTATCTATTGTTATACTTGCTAAACCAGTCTTTACTTTTTTATCATAATTTCCCTTTTCCATATTGAGACGATGCTGTCTTGCATGCTGAATACTTCTATGTAGCAGCCGTGGACTTTCACTGATCATTTAGCAGGAAGAGCCTGTCAATGTGTGTTGGTACTGGGACCCAAGAAGTAAAATATATATATATATATATATATATATATATATATATATATATATATATATATATATATATATATATATATTTAAATAAATAAAAAATCCCCAGGAAGGTGAGAAGTTTAATGGTGGAACAGATGGTACTTTGAACTTTATATACATTTTTTTAATTTTTTTATTGGAAATGAAAAGTAGCTGTAATTACTGTGAACGCCGTGTAAGGCATTTAGTGACACACACTTTATCTAATTGGTGTTGTTGCTCAGCATAGTTAAAATCTACAGACTCATGTTGTTGGATAAACATTTCCTGTCAGTGGATAGTGACTCTTATTCATTGTTTGTCATTCCGAATAGCATTTCAGTCAATAAAACAGTTTGCTGGCAAGAATACCAACATCTAAAGTAATAAATCACAATAGTTGTTCATGTGTATGTGTTTTTCTCTCATAGAGTGACCTGTGGTCTTTGGGAATAACAGCAATAGAGATGGCAGAAGGAGCCCCACGTAAGTAATTTTGATCATAATCGTTATATAAATATATAGTGTAACTGATGGAGAAGTCAGCCAAGAATAGAAGGGGGTATTACATGAAACTGCATGGATATTTTTTGTATTTAAACTCAAAGGGATCCTGCTCTGGTCCTCGCCTGGCTAAGAGGTAAGTTTTTTTAGCCAGAGCTCCAGTCAGACCCTCTACCTCGCCTAGAGCAGCTCTAAATGACATTTCCCTTCTAATGCTATACAGGAGCCAGCATGCCGAGGGAGGTGGTAGCAAGCCTGTGTGCAGAAATCAGAGAGAGAGAGTCTGCAAAGCCTTCTGAAAGACAGAAGCCTGGTGTCACTGTATGTGTGGCATTTTGACAATTTGTATCCCAGTATAAAGCTGGTTAGACTCAAAGCTCTAATTTAACGTGTTTATTCAGGGCTTGATAAATACCCGGAGACCTATGAATTCTTAATCCAATTCTGTTTGATAGAGATTCTCAAAATAGAAGTTACATAGATTTATGGAAGGGTTACTCCAATCATAACCACTACAGCCCGCTGTACTAATCCCACCGACCATTCATTGGGTGAGACCATCAGCTGAGTTTTCTTAGCCAATGAACACCCCTCTGTGCCTAGAAACATGCACAGAATTGACTTCAGCCAGACTAGAACTCTTGGTGCTGCCGGACGTGTATTTACACCTTTGGAAGCAAAATGGTTGCACTCTGACTGTGCTGTGTGCAGTATTTCATAGCGAAAATCACTGGGGCCATGATGTTTGGAGTAACTCTTTAGGTTAATAATGAGATACTCGTTTCCCATTATTATTGCACTTGATTTGGATAGAGATATACAGATATGCGAATTATCATATATTATGCTATATGTAAAAAGTACACATTTCACATAGAAAACATATTTTCTGTCTTTGCCATTTCTGACATTATTCTTTTTTCTTTTTATAACCTTTAGCTCTCTGTGATATGCACCCCATGAGAGCTTTGTTCCTAATCCCACGGAATCCAGCTCCTAGATTGAAATCTAAGAAATGGTGAGTCAATTCTAAGGGAGATTTCCCCATGTAATTGTACGGAGACGGATACATATTGGATAAGTCTTTATTGGCAAGCAGCGATGACACTGTGTTCTGTGCAGCCAGTGGTTGAATAGAGCGTTAAACATGATTGTGGATTATTTTTTAACAGTTTCATTTGCCATTCCAAATACATGCTTGGTTGTCAACCAGTTGTAACTTGAATTGGCAGAACCTTTCCAGCTAACAAAACGTAATTTCTCAGTGGAAACAACTTGTCATTCTAGAAAGGCATCATTTATCACGAAGTGTGAGGAATGCACCCGTTTGAACAGCATTCAGTTAAGAGGCAGGGCTTCTTAAATCATTCCAATAAATCCCACTAAACATCCTGAAGAACAAGACCTTTCCAGCTGCAATTTTTTGATCGCCCCAGTCTGCAAAAGATGCAAAATAAAAAATGGCTATTGAAAGTAATGTGCAACTACTTTAGATATTATTATTATTATTATTATTATTATTACTGGTATTTATATAGCGCCAGCATATTCCATAGCGCTGTACAATATTATCAGAGGGGGAGATTTAGCAGTAAATGAGACAATTACAAAACCTTAGAGGAACAATAGGTTGAAGAGGGCCCTGCTCAAACGAGCTTACAGTCTATAGGAGGTGGGGTGTAAAACCCAACAGGACTAGAGGTAGCCATCCAGCAAGGTGGAGTGAAGCAGAGCTGAAGGAGAGAATAGAGTGCTGCCCTTTAGGAGAGAGCAAGGGACAGGTATGGGCCAGGATATACTGTACTATACAGTGTTCTAATAGTATATGGCACTAGTCTATGTGCTGCATTATATGGCATTATAGAATACAAGTTGTTCACTAACTTGGCATCAAATAATTAAATTACATTCTGTCTTTTTAAGCAAGTCCATTATATATCTTCTTATAATTTTGCTGTTTAGTAGTAGTTTATGTATATGGTTTTTTTTATTGAACCAGGAGGGAAGATGTTGTTTTCAACAAGTTATGAAATACAGGTTTCCCTTTCCTTTTTCCTTTTAAACTGACGTACTCAACTTTGTGGTATGCTAAAATATTATCATTTTCAAACTTAGAATGCTGATACCGAAGCTATGGTAGTGCTTATGTTTAAAGGGGCACCCTAAGCACCACAACTACTATAGCACATTGCAACTGATATGGCACAGGGAAATTTAAAGTGTATAAGCCAATTGATGGTCTTAAATTACACAAGCTTTGGCTCACTGTGCCTAGAGGGGTATCCCCTAAACCTTGTGGACAAGGTCCAAAGAAGGCCAAAACTGTTTTCTGGGGTTGCTGTATCTTGAGTGGAGAAAGTACTTGCTTGCATTTTGGTTCTGGGCTGACCATATGGTTGGGAACAGTCTAATATGCAAATTGTATATGTTCTCTTTGTAATGGCACAAGTTAGCAAAAAACATGTTTGAGACCTGAGCGGGGACTAACTGAAGGGCAAGCTACTGAGTTTCTCTAAGTTTTTGCTTGTTCTCAGAGTTCTCATATTCTCTGTTTTTTAATTAGTCCGCTCTGATTTCTGGAGCCTTTGACCAGGAGGAGCTGTCAGTAGTGAAGAGCAGGCTTCTCACATTTGACCACCAGAAATAAAAGTCCACCTTCCTCATCTATTACCCCATAAATAGGGCAATACAATGGATTGTTGGGGTTAGTGCATGAGGAGAGTGAAGAAATACTCCAGTAGAGGGCTGGTAAAATGTTTTTCCATTTAAGGTGAGTTGTCTTTGTGCTTTAATAGCCCTTCCGTCAGTCCTGGCACACAGAAACTTTAGATAGCATACCTTAAGTCTCTAGCAGAAGCCATGTCCCAGAGTCATGGCAAAGAGAGTGTGAGATATGCTGTTGCAATGATTTTTTATTTTTTATTTTTTTTTAAAGCAGCCATAGCTACATGGTTTTCTTTAGTTTGTTTCAAACCATTACTTGAATGTTTAAAGGAAGCTCTAGATATGTTATCATATCCAGACAGGCATTCTAGATGGCGTTTCTACTAATTGCAACATGAATTATTTAGAGGAAACAACACAAATGATAAATGAAACATCTTCAAATATATTTTGCATACCTATTAACATGTTATTGGGAAATAAAAATAGAAAAATAATTAAATCTGTAGTCAGGCTCTTCACGTGTACCTCCCCCACCCCCATTGTTTGCAATAAAATGAAACGTTTTACTCACATTTTGGCAGGACCGAGACTCATTTAGTACTGTTCACCTCTCTATCTCCCACGATGTCGCGGAGGATGCATGGCTTCCACCATGATGGTCCGATCCAATGCTCCTCATTGCCTTCAGTGCTACGGTAGTATAAGGGAGTTGGTGTAAGAGTTAATGTTAAACCAAGGCAGCACTGGTACATAGATGTTCTGTTTAACCCAAGATTAGTGGGAGTTATCCTCTCAGCTGGCAGGTGCTGTTTACTGCAAGTACTAGTTCAGCTCAAGAAAGCTGTAATCCAGGAGCTTAATTCCCATCAATACCAAGCAATTCAACCAAAAAAAGTTACTTTTGAACAATGTCCTTCATTTTTTTTATTGTAGCACACATGAGACGAAAAGTTTAATTCCATTGAGGAACATTGGTAACATATGCTATCAGTACATTTCAGCAATTTTTCCTATAAATTTGTTACCATATTTAATTATTCCAGTATATATCATAGCCTGGTGCACAGTGGAAGCATTCACATTATCTATTTTCTGTTCTGATTTTCGGATTCGTGAAAAACACAACTTGGTTTGAAACATAGGAAGGAGATGCATTACTGAATTGCGACGACAAAACAATATTGGCCATTGTTTTCAGAAAAAAATGGTATCTCACAAAGATCCATAACGGATAAAAAGAAAATAATGACATTTACTAGATTATATTCTGTCATTTGGTGTTACCACTTGTTCAAGGTGTTTACTTTCATTTGCTTTGTATTTCCCTTGATAAAGTCCCTCCAGACATCTTTGTTCATATTGCCTAGGGCAGATTCGAATAGCCTGCCATTTCAATTCATGTATAGAATAAAGCATGTGTTACAATGTCCTATAGAAGAATAAACAACTAGATAGGTGTATTGAATTTAAATCACTATGGATATGTATTGATGGACTC